GGCTGTGCAGTGGTTTTCAGCTGTCTCGGAAGCACAGTGTAACTCGGGATGCAGATGCTTCATCTGTGATGAGCGTGACACTGGTCCGCCATTTAACCTCTGTGTCCCTTTTCTCCATGTAAAATTGAGCAATCCTGGCACCCTCTCAAGACAGGGGCAAATGAGTTAACTTAGGCCGGCATTTGCTACAAGGCAGCGCACCATGTGTGCTGGCCCTGGGCATCATCAGGCTCTGAGCCTGCTCTTCAGGGGAGGTGTGGTCTGTGGATAGGAGCCTGACCTGGGTGAGCTGGGCAGCCTGTGGGATGCGAGGAACAAGGCCTGGCAGTTCCTGGCCACTGAGGGTCATTACCTGGGTCTTGGTGTGCCACCCCCGCAGGCTTCAGCACTGTGGTGCTCCTAAAGGGCACTCCACCCCCACCTCCGCCAGGTCTAGTGCAAGTCAGCAAGCCACCCCCTGGCTTCTCCGGCCTGCCCAGCCCCCACCCAGCCTGCGTCCCCAGCACTACCACCACCACAAAAGCGTAAGTGTGGCAGGCTGCCTGGCCTCCTGCCCTTAGGGGCCAGGGGAGAGTGCCCTCACTTTCAGCCACCCCAAAGACTGAAGCCTCTATCTCCTGACCTCCAGACCCAGGCTGACACCAGCACCCCGGGCCTACCTTGTCCCCGAGAACTTCCGGGAGAGGAACCTGCAGCTCATCCAGTCCATCAAGGACTTTCTGCAGAGTGACGAAGCCCGCTTCAGCGAATTCAAAAGTCACTCAGGAGAATTTCGACAGGTCAGGCTGGTGGAGGGAGGCGGCGGGGGTGGGAGTACAGCCTGCCACCTGGGGCCTAGGCCTGGGCCAGGGGTGACTGGGTCTGGCTCTCGGTGGCAGGGCGTGATCTCCGCAGCCCAGTATTATAAGAGCTGTCGGGACCTGCTTGGGGAGAACTTTCAGAAGATCTTCAATGAGCTGCTGGTGCTCCTGCCCGACACAGCCAAGCAGCAGGAGTTGCTGTCTGCACACACGGACTTTCGAGGCCAGGAGAGGCTGCCTGGCACCAAGGCCAAGAAGAATAAGAAGAATGCATGGCAAGCCAGCACCCAGCAGGCAGACCTGGACTGCTGTGTGTGCCCCACCTGCCAGCAGGTTCTCGCAAATGGTGACTTCCGCAGCCACCAGGCTCTGCACACTGCCCGGGATGACGACTTCCCCTCCCTGCAAGCTGTTGCCAGGACCCTCACATAGCTCCCGCTGTGTGGGCCGGAGTGGCCACAACCATGAGCCTCCTTTGTCCCTGCTCTTCCTCCTGGGCTGACAGGCAGCCAGGGAAGGCCCTGTTGAGACCACCTGCTCAGGCCCTTTGGTTGGCCGGCCCACCAGGGGTCACAAGGACAGCCCACTTCATATCCGCACAGTTAGGCAGGTTTCCTGCTGGGAACTGGGCAGATACCCCTGCCTCAGTGGTGGGCCAGTCTTGGTTTATATCTCATGATTTTGGAAGGTGCCAGGGGAAGAAAGGGCCAGGATGCTGGGACTTGTCCATGTTGTCAGAGGCAGTGGCCACAGTGGCCCAATCTGGGACCTCCTGAGCCTGAGGGCTGCAGCACTTTGCCCCCCAAGCCTGAAGCTGTGGGTCCACTGGTGCAGGAGTAGAACATTGAGTGTGTTGTGTAAACAGTTGGCTCTTTCATGATTCAAGAGTGTTCAGGATTAAAAGCAGACACAAAATTGTGCTACTTGAAGTTAAATCTTTCTACGAGAAGCTGAATCTGGGATCTCAAATTGCTTCTGACCTTTTATAAAACAGTTTATCTTTAAATAAATTTATTTTGCAATAATGCACATAGCTGGCATTCTGAGCTTCTCTGCCTTCTGAGGTCACTCAGTAGTGAGGGGAACTCTGGGTCTACATGTGACAGCTCAGGTGGTCAGCCAGAAGAAGAAGGTCTGTGGGGAGAGCTGGGCAGCTGCGCTTTCCTTACAGGAAGCAGAAGCCAACAGGAGGCCGCATTTCTGGAGGCCGAGCACTGCCCAAACCTTTCAGGAATAGACACAGCCATGACATGCTTGACAACTGAACTTTGCACCCAGTAAACCTGTACTTCCAGAACGTGAGAGGCATACAGACACTGGGTTTACATGCAAAGATGGGTGGGAAAAAAACACAGGGTAAAAGAGCTACTAAAGGTGAACTTCAACAATTTAGAAATGGGGGAGGGGCACAACTGAAATACTGTGAGAAAGTAATTTGTGATATTTTGGATGGGGACCAGACACGTACTGAAATCTCCCTTTTCTGTCCCAAACACATATAGAAAGGGAAAAGATCTAAACACATTCCAATAAGGCAAAGGAAATGTCTTTAAGTGAGAAAAAATGGAGATGCCTTTCTAAAAGCAGAAGGGGGCGCCAACAGTACGAAGGCCAAAGTCAGTGGCCTGCAGAGGAGCCAGGCCAGAGCCACATGGCTGCATCACCACTGCCTGCCTGGCCTGAGGATGTGGATGGTATTGCTTGTCCGCCCAGGGCTGGGACGAGCAGTGTTTCTAGGTGAGGGCCATGCATCAGAGGCCACCACTTCCCACCACACACAAGCGTCTCCTAGTGCCCTCGTTGCAGACCTGAGTACAACCAACCCCACAGAAGAGCAATGTGGAAACTGGATATCATGTTAACAATATTGAAAATACCTATTCTTTTTTAAAAATATATTTTTATTAATTTCAGAGAGGAAGAGAGAGAGAAACATCAACGATGAGAGATAATCATTGATCGGCTGCCTCCTGCATGCCCCCTACTGGGGATGGAGCCTGCAATCCGGGCATGTGCCCTTGACTGGAATTGAACCCAGAACCCTTCAGTCTGCAGGCCAACGCTCTATCCACTGAGCCAAACCAGCTAGGGCAAAAATACCTATTCTTAAGCAAAACCTATAAGAATACTAGGTGACACTTTAATTCTGGCTATGTGAAAAGCACTGCTTTGGGCTCCTTACAAGTATTAACATGTATTTACACATGTTATCACCCCACCCTATGTGATGGGAACTATTATCCTTTTATAGAGGGGAACCCAAGGCACAGACAAATTAAGAGACTTGCCTAAGATGACCAAGCTTGAATGTGGCAAAGCCAGCATTCCAGCTCCAGAGATGGATCTTAACTGCTTCACTTAACCAGGAGGTTACTAACTAATTAAAAATCTTAGAAATGAAAACCTGACATAAAAATAGGCTCAAACGTAAACAAGACTGCCTAGCTGGTGTGGCTTGGTGGTTGAGCATCGACCTATGAACCAGAAGGTCACGGTTTGATTCCCAGTCAGGGCACAAGCGGTTATAGGCTTGATTGATCCCCAGTAGCGGGTGTGCAGGAGGCAGCAGATCAATGATTCTCTCTAACCACGGTGTTTCTATCTCCCTCTCCTTTCCTCTCTGAAATCAAAAATATATATTTTTTAAAAGTAAACAAGACCAAGCTGGGGAAACCTCCAAAGGACAACTGGTCATGCAATGTGGCTCTGGAAGCTGCATGATACACCTGATGAGTCCCAGGAGCCGAAGGTGGTGAGAAGAGGCCATTGGAGAATCATGACTTTTCCCCACACATTGAAGAAATAGAAAAATACAAACAAACACTAAGAATAATTTTTTTAAGCCACATCTTAAAAAAATGTTTAAAGAGACAACTTAGAAAAAAATTTACTAAAATAACATAACCTACAAAGGAATGCAAATTGTACTGTTATCACTGCTCTCAGCAGCATAAGATCCTAAAAAATACTAGAGAAATACTTTTAAAGTTCTAAGGAAAATGACAACATTTATATACCCAGTAAAACTATCTTTCAAGAACTTCAGCCCTAGCTCGTTTGGCTCAGTGGATAGTGCGTCAGCCTGTGGACTGAAGGGTCCTGGGTTCGATTCCAGTCAAGAGCACATGCCTGGGTTGTGGGTTCAATCCCCAGTAAGGGGGTGTGCAGAAGGCAATCGGTCAATGATTCTCATCATTGATGTTTCTGTCTCTCCCTCTCCCTCTCTGAAATCAATAAAAAAATATATTTTAAAAAAAGAACTTGGGGCCTGGCCAGTGTGGCCCAATGGTTGAGCATTGACCCATGCACCAAGAGGTCCCCAGTTTGATTCCAGGTCAGGACACATGACTGGGTTTTGGGCTTGGTCCTCAGTAGGGGATGTGCAGGAGGCAGCCAATCGATGTTTTTCTCATCCATGTTTCTATCTCTATCACTCTCCCTCTTTCTCTAAAAACAATCCTATATAATAAAAGAGTAATATGCAAATAGACCAAACAGCAAAATGACTGGTTACTATGATGCACACTGACCACCAGGGGGCCAACGCTCAACACAGGAGCTGCCCCCAGCCTGCAGACCCCAATTGCCTAATCAGGGCCTGCCGACCAACCATTGGTTCCTTCCCCCCGCCCACCCCCCCTCCGC